CACAAGACCAGAAGCCGAACTTATTAATTTTATATTATTTATATTTACTTATGTCATCCATGGTATATACTACCATTCAAGTATATATCAAGATTGGGATGATATGGATTCTCAGGCACTATCGATACCATCAATGTTTCTTTAATTTTCAAAACATCGATGGTTTTTGGGCCACTATCGATGCACAGATACAATAAAAACATTGTATCTGTGCATTAAGGGCAACGTTTAAGTAAAATTGGTTTTTTTTAAATTTTTTATCACATGTAGTGAAATTTACATGGTATCACATGTAATTTACATCACATGATAATAATCAATGTAATTTTATGTTTTCGTTTTTTTTTTTAGGCGCTTACAAGCGACACAACAGCCTCAGAAATGCTGTCTAAAAAAGTCTTATGCGTGCCAGCATCTTCCTGAGCTTCAGAGCGAGCGTTCAGCAAAGCTGGACAGATTATATCTGACAGGAGATACGCCTTAAAAACAAACATTATTGATCAATTAATGTTTTTAAATAAGAATCTCAATCTCTAAATAAAAATCTCTAATCTCATATAAAAAACTTAATTGATATTTTTATTTTTTATTTGAAAACATCTATGTTTTATCGATGTTTACTTTAAAAACATCGAAATCATCGATTGTCCCAAACATCGATTGTTTTCCAGCTCTACCAGAAACTGACGAGAGTCTTAGGCAAATTCCAAACCATTTCTGACACTCCGGTATACAGCAAACACTACCCGTTCCCCGCTGCACTACGAACATGGCATAATTATACAATGCACCCGTTTGTGTGGTACCACCCAAGGGATGGGTGGGATTATCTTTTAGGGATTATCTGGATATTACAGAAGATTTATTCGTGAATACGCAAAAATAACTAAACCACTGACAACACTTTTAAGGGGTAAAACGGTAGACTTTCAAATAATGTTTAAGGGTAAATTAAAGTAACATTGGACAATGAAGCCAAGGAAGCATTATTTAAATTAAAGCAAACACTCGTCTAAGACGATGTGTTACTAGCCTACCCAGGCTTTAAAAAAGAATTCCAACTAACTAACTAAATATAGCACGCGTGCATAGAGCAGAAAATTATTCCACAGCGCTGCCGGCACACTGACAGTGTGAGCACTTTCAAAATTTCATTTGCTCTCCTTTTCAATTATTTGACAGCCCAAACTTAAAAATCAAAATGTTTCCACTGAGAAAAATTGTCTTAAAAATTGGGTTGAAAAAAGTTTTCTCCATAGAAAATATAGATAGGGAAGAGTAGTTTTTCATTTGTTTAAGAACTGTTGCTAGCAAAGCTTTCTTTAAAATAAAATACACTATTTTAGTGCCCATTCCAACTTTTGAATTAACGAAAAATAAAATAAAAATGTTTTATAAAAAAAAAAGTTAAAGATGTATTTTTTTTTCAAAAGCTACAACATTTAACTATTGAAAAACGTAAAAAAATTTAAAATCGGCCTAAAATTCAGGAATTACGCGTTCAGGAATTTTTAAGAGCAAAGCACTTTCGAAAAACCGTTTTTTCGAAATAAATCAAGATTTGAGGGTGTATGAAAAATTTCATACATGATTTTATACTATACTCGACCTAATGGACAATTCCTTCTAGGTCTCTTCAAAAGTTCCTCCAAATTTTCTTTTTTTGTCGCACTGTGTAATTTAATTTGAAAAAATTTACAAAAACTAAACTAAACACTAAGAAAATAATAATAACAGTTAATGACCATAAATATAAAAGATATATTCATACATTCGCGAAAAAACTCGCCCGACTATATCCTATAGCTGCCATATTACTAAGTGATCGGAAATGCTAAAAATTCGGTGTTTTTAGAGTAAGAGAGTTCGGATTTTGTACGAATGCTATTTTTGACAAATTAATACGACCCACAAAATTTCATAAGGATTGGCCGACTATATCCTATAGCTGCCATAACACTAAAAAATCGAAAATTTCGTGTTTTTAAGACAGAAAGTTAAAACTTCGTACAGAACGTACAATTTTGGCTTAGTTAATCCCACATACCTAATTTCATAACGATCGGCCGACTATATCTTATAGCTGCCATACAACTGAATGATCGGATATGGTTTTTACCAACATAAGAAAATTAGAAACAATTTACCAAAACACCAAATTTAGTGTTCTTGAATATAGAAGTTTTTTTTAGATTTTGTATCGTAATGAATTGGTTATATTATGATATTCTCATAAGAATCGGCCAACTATATCCGATTTTTGAGATATACCTGGTCGAAATAAATATTGGAACACTTTATTTATTTATTAATAAATTCGTAAATGATTTTTAATTTTTTTTGTTTTTATTATATTTGTAAATATAGAGAAGAAATGCATTGAAAACAGATAAAACTTTTTTATTTTACTGATCCTTTCCACTAAAATTGATATTGTTATGTTAGCTCCCTTAGAAATAATTATTGGGACACTGTAAAGAAAATAATTTTTAAAAAATTTATAGTTGTAGGAAAAAAATGTATTTTCTTACCTAATAGTGGGTATTGCCTCCGTGCTTTGAAATGACTTCAGCCAAAATTAGCCAAATCCTGCAATGTTTTTCGTCGATTTTTGCCTATTCTTCAACAAAACCCTTCTTGAGCGGTGCCAAATTTTCAAACTGTCGTCCATTGCTGTATACTCTATTTGAGAGTATACGCCACACATTCTTAATCGGGCTTAGATCGGGACTACAAGCTAGCCACCCCAAAAGTTCAATTTTGTAATCCTCAAAAAACTGCTTTGACACGTGGATGCCGGCGTTATCCTGTTAAAAAATTAACTTTTTCTCAAAATAAGTTTCGCCAAACGGTATCAAAACGTCGTCCATTAGTCTTATGTACATCTGAGAAGTCATTCGTGTTAATAAAAAACATCTTCCGGATCTTCCGGCGTGTCCAAATGCGGCCCATACCATCAGTGACCCACCTCCGATATTGCGAGTATAGCAGGACTGGCGTTCTCGGCGGATATCTCTCTAGGACATCATTATACCCTTGCAGAGGGTATTATAATTTTGTCCAAAAGTGTGCAACGCAGTGAAGGAGGCATCTCCGACCCTATAAAGTATATATATCCTTGATCAGTATCACCTCCTGAGTTGATATGAGCATGTCCGTCTGTCCGTCTGTCTGTCTGTTTCTACGCGAACTAGTCTCTCAGTTTTAAAGCTATCGACTTGAAACTTTGCACACACCCTTCTTTCCTTTGCACGCAGTATATAAGTCGGAACGACCGAGATCGGCCGACTATATCCTATAGCTGCCAATAACTGATTGATCGGAAATGGTATAACTTTGGTGTTTTTAGAGTTAGAGAGTTCAAATTTGACATGAATGCTATTTTTGGCAAAACATTACGACATGCCAAATTTCATTAGGATCGGCTATCCTATAGACTATATCCTATAGCTGCCATATAACTGATCGATCGGAAATGACCCAACTTTCGTGTTTTTGATGATAGAAAGCTGGCACTTGGTACACATTCTATTTTTGGTCAGTTAATCCGATCTACCAAATTTCATAACAATCGGTTGACTATATCTTATAGCTGACATATAACTGAACGATCGGAAATGGTATTTGGTAGAAATATCAACTTTCGTATTTTTGAAGATAGAAGCTTGGGACTTTTTTTTAGATTTTTTATTGTAATTAATTGGTTTTATTATGATGTAATCATAAGGATCGGCGAACTATATCCGATGTTTGCCATATATATCCGGTTTTAGCTGCAAGGGTATATCAACTTCGGCTCCGCCCGAAGTTAGCTTTGCTTTCTTGTTATACCCTTGCAGAGGGTATTATAATTTTGGTCAAAAGTGTGCAACGCAGTGAAGGAGACATCTCCGACCCTATAAAGTATATATATTCTTGATCAGGATCACCTCCTCAGTTGATATGAGCATGTCCGTCTGTCCGTCTGTCTGTCTGTTTCTACGCGAACTAGTCTCTCAGTTTTAAAGCTATCGTCTTGAAACTTTGCACACACCCTTCTTTCCTTTGCACGCAGTATATAAGTCGGAACGGCCCGGATCGGCCGACTATATCCTATAGCTGCCATATAACTGATTGATCGGAAATGGTATAACTTTGGTGTTTTTAGAGTTAGTGAGTTTAAATTTTGGCAAAAAAAAAATAAAATTTTTTTTGGCAAAACATTACGACATGCCAAATTTCATGAGTAAATTTCATTTACTATATCTTATATCTGCCATATGACTGAACGATCGAAAACGACTCGACTTTCGTGTTTTTCGTGAAGATAGAAAGCTGAAACTTAGTACAGATTCTATTTTTGGTCACTTGATCCAACCTACCAAATTTCATTAGGATCGGCCGACTATATCCTATAGCTGAACGCCATATAGCCATATAACTGAACGATCGGAAATGTTATTTGGTAGATATATCAACTTTCGTATTTTTGAAGATAGAAGCTTGGGACTTTTGTTTAGATTTTTTATTTTAATTAAATGGTTTTATTATGATGTAATCATGAGGATCGGCCAACTATATCCGATGTTTGCGATATATATCTGGTTTTAACTGCAAGGGTATATCAACTTGGGCTCCGCCCGAAGTTATCTTTCCTTTCTTGTTTATTTTATTATTACATGTACACAAATATGTAAATACAAACAAAACACACAAACACATTCTCGATCGGATTGCTTCACTCACAATCAATTCCAACCCTGTGATCTATCCGATCGTCTTTTTCTGTTCAATAATTTTCGATCATCTTACCAGTACTTAACCAGAATCAACAAGCAGAGCCATCAAATTAAATCGTACTTGTTCGCGTTGTGAACAAAGCGCGATCGAACAATTTTTTGGCATACCACTGTGTTCAGTTGAGATGGTATTCACCGAAGCTGATAGAACGAATCGATCATACTCAATGGATTTTTCTGATACCAACATATACATATATACATATATAAAACATTTTTAACTGTACTTTAAAATATTCCTTTATTTACTTGTTTTTTAGATTTTTTCTTTTTTTTAAACCTTTTTTATTGGAAAATGTATTAATACGTTCATTAACCTCTTTGTATTTTCGCCTGTTAAAGTTCTGAAAAGCTTCATTCTCCAAAAGTTCATCTACCAGAGTCTTATGAGATTTTCGAGTGTTTTTTTCTTTATGATGATCTATAACTGAATGTTGAACGGTTCCAATTTGGAAATACTTTGGCAAATTCTTTAAATCGTTTTTTTTATAAAATTGTTTTGGATTAAGAACCGATCTCATTTGAATTATTTTTAACTCGTTGCGCATTTCTTCCGTAACTTCAGTTGCGGGAAGATCAAACCAACCACTTCCCTTGGACTTCGTTCGAATTACCTAAAATTAAAAAAAAAAATGGTTTACTGTAAAAATGAAATAATGATATAGATGTGCAGTGAATTTAACTAGATATCAGATTACTAAAGACGTCGTCAATGCGGCTGTGTCAAACCTCAGCTGCTCATGTAGTGGTCTATTAACTAGACGTTGTATGCCAAGCCTAAACAACCTGTTTAAAATTTACAAGAGGTAGTAGTCTAGTTTATGGCATTTAATTTTCCGTTGGCCTTACGGTCACTAAATATTATTTAACAAAGCGGCCAAGATTACAACGGGTGAAAAGGATACGAATCTTTCATTTCATCCTGCAGAACCACATTGGGCAGCCTGAGTTTTAGTAACTGAGCCTGTGATATTAACTATAACTTCGGATGTCGAATATATCATCATGTTTTTAATAATTTCCAAGCGTTTGTTTCTTATTTACTTACTCTATTAAAAGCAGGTTGCTTCCTTCTACTCATAGTTGACAATGACTTGCGTTGATCGAATCCCGGTTCCACAGCACGTTTTGCCCTTTTCATATTGTTTACCACGTTTTGATGCTTCATATTTGCTTCAGCGTTGCTGTAACTTAAATGTGAGACCGGCTTTGGGGAGGAATTTCCGGAAGCATTAGCGACTTTTTCCTTTGAAAAATTTCTTTTCACTTTGGTATTGAGTTGCTTTCCTTTACATAAATGGTTATCATTTACAGCTTTTTCAATATCTTTGCTGTCTAGCTCTAAGCCAAAAAGTTCTATTTTACTATTCTCCAAAACGTCGCTACCTTCAATTTTTTTATGATTTATTATAAAATTTTCTCGCTTATACACAAGTGAATTCTGTTGCTCGCCAAGCAGATTCGCATTCCCTATGGTATCCACAAGAAAAATCGGTACCATTTTCGCATCGCTCTGATAAACAAAAAACACGTTGCTAGAAAGTGAGACCAGATAATGTGGAACTCAGGGCCTATTATTCGCACCGATACACAGCGATGAATATGGGAACATACATACATACATGAACTAAAATAATACTTATGGGCATTTTGTATTATTTATACCTATAATATTCTAAACAAGATTGTAGGAAGAAGGTAAAGAATCAAGCAATTAATGTAGAAAAAAATGAATGATCAATGTATTTTTTTACAATTTCTTATTGACAATCAGTTTTTCAAGATAGTTAAATCGCTGGTGAAAAGATTTCTTAAAGCCATCTTGTTTGTCAAACGTAGCCCACTTTAAAAATCTGTAATTTTCTATATCACAAATAGACTTTCTATTTATAATCGATTTATTTATTTTCCAAATTATTTTGTAAATAATATGTAAGATATTTTTTTGTGCGTGCGTGGTTGACTGGCTGTAAATAAATCGTTATAGTGGCAATTTTAAAAGAGTTTAATATATACACAGCTTGAAGTTAGTAGGAAGCGCTTCAAGCGCTTTTTTTTAATAAATAATTATTTTTAAAACTGTCACATTTAATCTTATTTTTTGCATAAAATTTATTATATAATCACAAAAAGAAAAATTATTTACATAGACCAACAGCAAAAATTATCAGTGTGGCATACAAAGAAGTTGCTATGATGCAGTCAGTGTAAATGCTGCAATTAATAATTTAAGTTTAAAGAAATACATCGGTTTAACGAAAAATCCCTAATTTCTTACCATCGCCGTTATTATTATTGACATAAAATTTATTTCATAAAACCAACTTCCAACACTCAAGGCTTTATTTTTTGTATTATAGGTCATGTCAAGGTTTAGTGGAGCCCTGCAGCTAACTGATATAGATGATTTTATTACCCCTTCTCAGGTTTTGTACCAGTTGTTCAAATTGAATAAAGTTTATTTATGTAAACAAAATGTAATCCATTAGGAATGCGTAAAACCCATAACCATTGATAAGAAAAAATCAAAAACGGGAGCAAAAATAAGTGTGCAGGAAGATGGGTATTATGAGGAATCAGAGGTAGGGTATTTGAACTTTTACGTTTTAAAAATACTGGCTTTTGTTTTTTTAGACCGGAAAACAGAAACTTCAGAAGCTGGAAATCACTCTTCAAGACTGTTTAGCCTGTTCCGGCTGCATTACATCCGCGGAAGGAGTCTTAATAACGCAGCAGAGCCAGAAGGAACTTCTCAAGGTTCTTCATGAGAACATTAAATTAAAGGCGACTGAAGACGTTAAAATGGCGCGTACGGTTGTGTTCTCCGTTGCTACTCAGCCCCTAATTAGCTTAGCTTACCGTTATAAAATGAGTGTGGAAGAAACAGCACGCCACCTAGCCGGGTACTTTCGCAGTTTGGGTGCAGATTACGTACTAAGCACTAAAGTGGCTGATGATCTGGCACTGCTCGAATGCAGGAATGAATTTTTAGAGAAGTATCGGGAGAATAAGGATTTAACTATGTTCAGCTCTTCTTGCCCGGGCTGGGTATGTTATGCAGAAAAAACGCATGGAAATTTTATTCTGCCACACATAGCTACTACAAGGTCCCCTCAGCAAATAATGGGCGTTTTAGTTAAACAATATTTGGGTGAAAAGCTAAATCTGCCTGCGTCACGAATTTACCATGTGACAGTTATGCCTTGTTACGACAAGAAGCTGGAAGCATCTCGTGAAGACTTTTTTAGTGAGGCAAATGCGTCGCGAGACGTGGACTGTGTTATAACTTCAGGTTTCATAAATAAAATATTTAATCTTACAAAAATTTATATTTTTTTTTTTGCAGTTGAAGTGGAGCAAATGTTGCTTGAAGTTGACCAAACTTTATCGGCCCAAGAACCTGCCGATTTGGACTGGCCGTGGTGGGATAAAAAACCCGAATTCATGGTCTACTCACATGAATCTACATATTCTGGTGGTTATGCAGAGCACGTTTTTAGGTATGCAGCTCGAAAGCTCTTTAACGATGACCCGCCAAATGAGCTAAAATTAGTGCAACCTAGGAATCGTGATTTAAAAGAGATTTATTTTGAAAAAGACGGAAAAGTACTTCTTCGTTTTGCCATTGCTAATGGTTTTAAGAACATCCAGAACCTAGTACAGAAACTAAAGCGTGGTAAGGGCTCCAAGTTTCATTTTGTCGAAATAATGGCCTGTCCCTCGGGTTGCATAAATGGAGGTGCTCAGGTTCGCCCTATTAGTGGGCAGCATGTACGTGAGCTTACCCAAAATTTGGAGGAGTTATATACGAAACTTCCTCGCTCTGAGCCCGATAACATAGCGACAAAAAATTTATACGACGACTTTTTTAATGGATTTGGTACTGATAAGTCTCACGATCTTTTGCACACTAGCTATCACTCTGTAGATAAGCTTGTCACAGCCCTTAATATTAAGTGGTAGCTTTTTTAATGTATCGTGTATATATATAATTTGTTTTTATTGTGAAGATATTGTTTTACTGGTTTTAAATAATTAAACGCTTATTTTAACCTCTCATGTGAGTTTTTTGTAAGGTGAAATGTGGCCGAATAACTGTTGGCCGAAATAACATCTCACATCCTTTCTGCAGGATTTCACTGCGCATGTCCAACCTACAGCGAATCACCTCCTATTGGAAACAAAAATTGTTGCGACGTATTCCATTGGAATACGGCATGTTTCTAAATAAGGAACTGAAACTTTCAATAGGTTTTTGCTTGCAAAAAAAATCCGTTTGTTGTAAGTTTTTTTTATCCGAGTAAGCATTGTAAAATCAATATTTAGGCAGTAAATACATCCTAAGTAAAAGTATTATTTTAATATGAGCAAGGTTTGCGTAACCAGTTAATCTAATCCTAAATTCAATAATCCATGTTTTATATAATTCAATAGACTAGCTTTAAGGACAATTTAAATGTAAAGATGTCATCGCCGTCATTGCACTCATTTGGGTTAGTAGCCAACGAATTTTCAACCCAATACGAACCTGCGACTATAAACGACTCGGGTATACAAAATACAACTAGGCAAATTTCTGGACGCAAGGACACCTTGGAGTACTTTATCAGATTTCCATCACCATCAACCGAAATGAGCTTTGGCTTGACTAACAAAAATGAAGAGAAAAATGTCCCGATCGTTATGCTTTTAGGTTGGGCGGGGTGTCAGGACCGATATCTAATGAAGTATTCGAGAATTTACGAGGATAGAGGGTAAGTGGTAAGTGAGGAGTTTCCCAGTGTTATCAGCTATTTCTATATTTCTAGCCTTATAACGGTTCGATATACTGCACCAGTAGACACTCTTTTTTGGAAACGATCTGAAATGGTGCCAATAGGCGAGAAAATCCTTAAACTAATACAGGACATGAACTTCGATGCCCACCCCATAATATTTCATATATTTTCTAATGGAGGTGCTTACCTTTATCAACACATTAACATAGCAGTGGTCAAACACAAGTGTCCGTTGCAAGTTCTTGGCGTGATATTCGATTCAGCTCCTGGCGAGCGTCGTATACTAGGTCTATACCGTGCCATAACCGCAATATATGGTAGAGAAAAGCGGTGCAACTGTCTTACAGCGATTTTTATTACCCTCACTTTAAGTTTTATGTGGTTTATGGAAGTGAGTATTGTTAAAGTATAGCATCTAAAAAGTAAAACTGCGTTGTGTATTTTTTCAGGAATCTTTTGCTGCATTTAAAAGCTTTTTTGTGAAGTCCACGCCTTTCCACGCCAGCCCGTTTTGCGACCTGAAAAAGGAGGCAAACAAGTTCCCTCAGCTATTCTTGTACTCCAAAGGTGACGTAGTCATTCCCTATAAAGATGTTGAAAAATTTATTGGTCTACGGCGCGATCAGGGCATTCAGGTTTCTTCAGTTTGTTTTGAGGATGCTGAACACGTCAAGATTTATATTAAGTATCCCGAGCAGTATGTCCAATGCGTTTGTAATTTTATAAGAAACTGTATGGCAATGCAAGATAATAGGGCTATAACTAACGTTGATCCTTGCTTAGTTTCAAGAAAAAATGAAGGACGGTCTAATTTGAAATATGATTAAAAACTTCTTAAAAAAGGAACGGAAGTAACTATTACGAATTAAATGTTTATTAATTTAGAAATAAATTAAGGATTTATTTTGGTACTAATTCCACAATTTTTTAAAGTCTTTTACAATTTATGCACTACATCAAATTTCAATTTATCAAATCCCAAGTGGGTAAATCTAAAATTATTATTTTTTAATTGTTGTATAGGCCTTCAAGCAGTGAAGCAGATATCTCCGACCCTTCTGATTCTTTATTATGATGGCCGCCTGTATGTTACTACACAAACAAGTCTCTCAGCTTTGAAGCTATCGACTTCAAACTTCTCTCACACCCTTCTTCGCTTTCTTTTTTTCCTTCTTATAGGAATCATATAGATTCATCGGAAATGAACCAAGTTTTATATTTTTTAAGGTAAATAGATGCTTTGCCCTTTTTGTTTATGGTTATTATATTAAATTGGTTGCATAATGAAAATCTTAAATCATGGGTTTAATTAGCTTCGAACTTAAAATTATGGGTTTATTAACCCTCATTTATGCCTATGCCTTTTTTGACGTATACCTTGGGAATACCCCAAGGGAATACTGTATACCTAGTATACAGGAACATATTAATACTATGATTTTTTGATGAATTGAATATCCTAACATGCTAAGACAGCTGAGTAATCTGTTCAGGGGCGAGAAAATGGAGAGTGAGTATGAGAAAGTGAGAGAGTGAGAAAGGGCGAGCTGAGATGTCGTGACAGAAGCAGTCATCAAAGGACTACAACAAGAGCAGCCAACGAAGCAGTTAAAGAAGAGGAGCACACAAGCAAGCGAAAAAAGAGAACGCCGGTTACAATCAAAGGGAACCACGATCCGAACCGGCTGCTAGGCATCAAGCTGACCCATTCCTGGCGTAGTCATGGTGAGGAGAAACATTGGCGACTGTGGATTGACAGACGAGAAGCCGAGGGTGAGACGAGCGGAAATAGTCGTAGAAACAGGGAAGGCGCCCTAATTGAAGCGTAAAACGGGAGACATTAATTAAAAAAAGCTATTTGTACGTACCCAAAACTCTGGGAGCTAGTCGAGGAATTTACTGCCACCGCTCCGTACTTTTACCAATTAGAAAAAAATGAATAAATTAATACTTCTCGTGTTCAGTCTTATCAGAAATGACCTATATTTTTCCATGTTGGTTTCGATGCCCTAGATCAGTGGGGGGCAAAACACACACATGTTTAAAATTTGAGTGTTTGCGTAGCAGAAAAAAACAATGAGAGCCGAAAATTTACTAAGCGAAAAAACATAATTTTTTTTACCATTTTTCGTTAATTCAAAAGCTGGAATGGGCACTAAAATAGCTTTCCAGCAACAGCTTTGCTAGCAACAGGTCCTAAACAAATGTTGACTACTAAAAACTACGCTTTCCTATCTATATTTTCTATGGAGAAAAATTGTTTCAACCCTATTTCTAAGAAAATTTTTTTAAGGGGTTACGCCACCCTGACCGCGTGGAAACGGGACGGTTTTTCAGGAATTTCTTGTGACTAAACTAGTTGAGATAGGATTTTTCCCCTTTTATTTCTATTTAATACAACTAATGAGCTTTATAAATTCTAAAAAAAAATTTGTTTTCAATTCAAAATGGCGGAGATATGAACATCGGCGATCATGGGTTTTTCCGGAGTGCTCCTTGATGGTGGGCATGATTCACGTGTCAATTTTCATCAGAAAAAGTAAACAAAATTTTTTTTAAAAAGTGATAAATTTCGAACAGAGTGACGTAGCCGTTTTAGAAAAGAAGAAAAATTACGCAAATGAGAGCACTTCAAAACTTGACTCAATGTTTTGGGCAAAAATTTCGTACTAAAAATTGCATAAAAAATTTCTATCCATTGGATCAAAAAAATCCTACGTCACTCTGTGGAAAATCTATGTAAGAAGATGTGTTTCAATTTTCAAGTCAATCGGTTGAACAGTTTTTGAGTTATCATGCCCACCGTCTTGAAAAAAGTGGTTTCGAGAAAAACGCAAAAGAAGAAAAAGAAGTGTCTTAGGTGCCCTCCTGCAGTGCCGCCTTCAAATAAACATAACTTCTATAATTATCAAGATATTGTCTTCGGGGACGTCTTAAAATACGCGTAAGAATATAGTCTTTTAAATTAAGTAAAAAAAAAAACGATTTTTTGAAAATTTCAGGGTGGCGTGACCCCTTAAGTTTGGGCTCTCAACATTTTTAAAATTTAATTCAATTTTAAAAAAATTTAAATTTTTAAATGAGAGAGCTTCAAAAAAAAATTTGAGAGTGCTCACACTGTCAGTGCTGCGGCAGAATTTCCTACCCTAATTCCTACCATAGCACCCTAGCACGCGTGCTATGGAAAATGATAGTTTGCCCCCACTGCCCTAGACAGTATTTATACTGTCTATTGCCTAGACATATAGTATTTATACTCGGTATTCGTACAAACTCGGTACTCGGTACAAAGGGCGAGTAAAGCTTTATAAATTATATATATTATTGATCATCAATCAACAGCCGAGTCGATATTGAATGTCAGTCTGTCCGTCTCAGATTTCAGAGACTATAACAGATAAAGCTTTAAGACTTTGCATAAAAACTCCCATGATTACAAATTTTTGTAGCGCCAGTACAGGAAGGTATTTTGAAACAAATTATGAAGTCCTGCTTAAACTGGATGTGATAGTTAATGACTTTAACAGAAATTAAGCAACTCTATAAATTCGAATGGTCCTCTAAGTTGTGGATCCAATTTTGTTTGGTGCCTCCCTGTGCTTTTCAACAACATATGATCGCCAATCTTATGCTCAAAAGCATAAGCATGCATTTGATCTACTCTTGCCTTATCATACTGGGCGTTCTTACTCATATTTTTTTCTACGTGCACTTCTTTATTAACAGTAATCATTTCCATGGGCCTCGCTGCTTTACCAATTGTAAACTCCAAGGAACTATGTTTAATCCGGCTCACGCCGGAGCCTCAATGTCTTATGAATCGGAAATTAAACATAGTTCCTTGGAGTTTACAATTGGTAAAGCAGCGAGGCCCATGGAAATGATTACTGTTAATAAAGAAGTGCACGTAGAAAAAAATATGAGTAAGCACGTTTTTTTTTTAGTTTTACCTTAGTTTCTCTTTACTCATTATTTTTTTGCAAAAAAAATTTTGATTTTTTCGATTTTGTTACTAAAATACTGTTACTTCGAGAAAAATGAGTTTGCAAATTCAAAGCGCTTGACACCGGTCCACCAAACGTCCAATAACTTTCTTAATTTAAGAGATATTTACTCAACATTTTGGGTATTGAAACATGTATCTATTAGGGAAATGAAAAAACAAGAAAGGAAAGTTAACTTCGGACAGAGAAGTTGATATACCTTTTCAGTTAAAACCAGATATATATCGCAAACATCGGATATAGTTGGCCGATCCTTATGAGAATATCATAATAAAACCAATTAATTACAATGAAATATCTAAAAAAAGTCCCAAGCTTCTATCTTCAAAAACACAAAAGTTGGGTCACTTCCGATCGTTCAGTTAAATGGCAGCTATAGGATATAGTCGACCGATCCTTGTGAAATTTGGCATGTCGTATTATTGTGTCAAAAATAGCTCTCGTGTAATTTGAATTCTCTTACTCTAAAAACACCAAAGGTATACCATTTCCGATCAATCAGTTATATGGCAACTATAGGATATAGTCGGCCGATCCCGGTCGTTCCGACTTATATACTGCGTGCAAAAGTAAGAAGGGTGTTTGCAAAGTTTCAAGTTGATAGCTTTATAACTGAGAGACTAGTTCGCGTAGAAACAGGCAGACAGACAGACGGACACGCTCATATCAACTCAGGAGGTGATCCTGATCAAGAATACTATATACTTTATAGGGTCGGAGATGTCTCCTTCACTGCGTTGCACACTTTTGAAGGGTATAAAAATCATTCTTGTCCTGCCGCATCTGCGAGCATTATGTGGTTGAAAATAATTTTTTGTTCGTCATTAAGTAGTGGAATATTGCGACTAAAAATGTCTGTCATTTCTACAGTATCGTACTGTAGTTCACGATTTATATCTGTGATGAGTAAAAACGATGTCATGAATCGTTTGTTGGAAGCATGAACTGAATACACTGTACTTGAATGAACTGACTTTAAGGAACAGGGTAGAATCTGGATCTTTACCAAGAAGTAAGCCGCGCAATGGTTCAGGTGGTGTTTCAATTTTGGGTAGTTGTACTTTTCCTGATAAGCAACACATCCCAACTGGGTCATTTTTAAATTTGAGTGCATGACAATACATCAGGCTCGTACTGGATTGGTAGTCGAAGAAATGGCTCTAATTTAAATCCTCGAAGAACTTGTTGGCGTTGTTGGTTATTTCTTCTTCTAACTATGAATCTGTGCGCTTCTTTTCGTTGCAGTTGTCTTTGTTGATTAGGTTCATCTCGTGCTTCTTTTGATTATGATGCGTGCTTCTTTCACGTATCTGCGTTATGGTCACATTGCGCATTTTCATTATCTTCTTCGATTTGTTCGCCGGATCTTCGTGATCTTCTATCTCGCGCGGCTATAGACCATATATATAGACTATATTTTCTTGGCATTGGTGTCTGTAAATTAGTGGTCGGCAGGGCCCTATTTCAGGGGCATATGGACACACACATAAATGTACGATACGTTACGCTCACAACCTACTTACTGTTATTCATTAATATAAGTGCAGCCATTTCGGAGGAGTACAATTCACGCGTTCGAACGGCATAAAAAGTATCCTATGTCCGTCTCGTGGCTCAATTTTTACTCAAATCTGTTCTGCCGTTCTTGATTTATAAGAGGTGTAACATAACACGACTTTCTTTTATGTATGTATATAGATATGCACAAAGAGTCTACGCCAAAGGTGCATTTGGGTACACCATTTATCTTTTATCAGTTTTTAGTCTTTCTTCACTAACCCATTATCCCATTCGATGCGTGCGTTTTGGGTCTACAGTAGGGTGACCAGGCGTCCGTATTAATACGGACATGTCCGTATTTTCAGCTCTGTGTCCGTTAGTCCGTATTTTTTTGTAAAATCTCCGTATTTTTCGCGTTT